TGCGAAGAGGGCCCAGATCCGGCGTTGCCTGCGGGGCCCTGCCCCGCTCCCGTCCCTCGCCAGCCGCCCGCGTACCATCTCCTCCCGCAGCCCGGCCCTGCGACGTGGTGGTCACTGGGGCTGTGCGGGGGGGACGTGCAGGGACTGACCTGGGGACACGATCACCTTCACCTCGGCACTCTCATCAGGCCAGGCCTTGCTCCATCGCACCCCGCAGCGGTAGGTGCCCGCGTCCCGCTTGGTCAGGCGCTCCACGGTCACCGTGAACACCCGCCGTGTGCGATCATCCTGGATGGAGAATCGGCCCCGCCGCACCACGGGCCGGCGCTCCGAGGTGATGACGATGTCATCTTCACAGATAAAAACAGCTGTTGCCGGTGTGCACCAGAATTTCGGCTTCGTCTCCTGGCCAGCCCGGTACGAGCAGCTCACCGAGAGGGACCCCCCCAGGAATCCCCGCACGGTGCCGGGCCCGGTCACCGCCCAGCAGCCTGCGGAGAGAGAGGGAGCCGCGGGAGTGCTGCTGCCGCCGTGCCCGCCGCGCCCGCCCCGGGGCTCGGGGGGCTCCATCCTGGCCTTACCTGGCAGCAGCGCCCAGGCAAGCAGCAGCAGGAGCTGCATGGGCAGGCTGGCCTGGGCCACCCTGGCGGGACGCTCCTGCCCCTCACGCTCCTTCTTCGTTGTGTCTCTGGGGCTTTACTTCCTCATCTGCCCCGGTTACCAAATCCCTTGCTGCTGGAGGTTTAGCAAGAGCGTGGGCTTTCTTGTTTCCTCTGGTCTCCGCTGGCTTCCTGCCTCCTTGCGGCGGGTTGACCCTGGCAGAACACCAGCTGCCCACCAAAGCTGCTCTATCTCCCCTCCTCGGCTGGGCAGGGGAGGGAAAATATAACGAAAGGCCCATGGGTCGAGGTAAGGACAGGGAGAGATCATTCACTCATTACCGTCATGGGCAAAACAGGCTCGACTTGGGGAAATCAGCTGAATTTATTACCAATGCAATCAGAGTAAGGTAATGAGAAATAAAAACTAAATCTTAAAACCCCTTCCCCCCACCCCTCCCTGCTTCCCAGGCTCTACTTCACTCCCAATTTCTCTACCTCCTCCCTGCAGCGGCGCAGGGGGATGGGGATGGGGGTTGTGGTCAGTTCATCCCACGCTGTCTCTGCCACTCCTTCCTCCTCAGGGGAGAAATCCTCACACTCTTACACCGGCCCAGGGT